AAAAAAAAAAAAAAAAAAAAGCCACCATCCCAAGTTTAAGCTTTGCATTTGACCAGGATTTTGAGATGTTTTAGAATATAAATATTTTCTTTGGAGAACATTAAGAGGATAGTTGAAGTCTCATATAAAATAGATACAAAAGCCACCTCAAGTCCCCAAGTTTGTGTCGGGATATCTGTGGTCAGGTTATTTAGTTCGCAATGTGCACATGCCTTAGTTCAGCTTGCTTCTACGTCTATTTCAGTGCTCCCCGAGGATTCCTGATCACCTTAATGATATATTACACCTTGATGATTTATCAATTACTCCTTAATTTTCCTTTTCTTCTATTTTGTATAGCTCAATAACCTCCAAAGCATCCAAATGATATTTTTTTTGGGTATTGCTTCAAAAAAGCTTGTATTCTGTTTTTGTGCACTGCAAAAGATTAGTCTGGGGTGATAGGAGGGTGTCTGCTTTTTCTAACTCGTTACTTCAAAACTTGCAATTTCGTTCTCGATGTCAATTTACTGCCTACAAATGGATGTATTTCCAGGTGCCTTCGTTTTTCATCCGCAAGCTGACAACCCAGGTTTTCTCGTTCATCAACATATCACTTTTTAACAGGTATTATTAACTTACAAGTATCTTCTTTTAATCCTTATCCTTTTTCTTTTGTGAAAATAAAGCTTATGATTGTCTTTGCTTTTATGCAAGTCTTTTACTCCGACGAGAGTGTTGCACATTTTCAAATGGAGAATATGTGAAGTCCGGTTTGGCAGAACTAGAAAAATGGATAGTCAATGCAAAAGAAGAGGTATTAAGAAAGACATTCTTTTTCTCCTGTGCATTCTCCAATGTAGATGTTGAACTGACAAAGAAGTACGTGGATGCTGAATGTAGTTTGCAGGTACATCTTGGCATGAACTTAATTATATCAGACAAGCTGTTGGATTTCTGGTAAATGCCATACCTTGCTAAATAGCTCTTTAATATCTGAACGTTTCATTCTGAACTTTAAATTTTATTCGCCGTGACTATCTAGGTAATTCATCAGAAGAGGAAGAAATCACTGGAAGAGATAAGACAGGACCTTTGCCCGGTAAGAGATAATAGCACAACATGTCATTGTGATCTCAATCTTGTTTGCAGACTGAATATCCGAAGTATTTCATCTTGAACAGGCATTGACAATCAGACAAATATATCGAATTAGTACCATGTATTGGGATGACAAGTATGGAACTCAAAGTGTGTCAAATGAGGTAAGTGTTTCAATGCATTTCTCCTAAGTCTTTTTGCCGGGAATGTTTTGGCTCATAGGCTTATGACTTTGTGTACTCTGTAGGTTGTCGCACAGATGAGGGAGATTTTAAACAAGGATTCTCAGAATCTAACATCTAACTCATTTTTGTTGGATGATGATCTGAGGTACGGTTTACTGATATATACTGCTATTCCAGCATTTTTTTCCTTTTGAGGTATGCCTATCCTAAAACTACTTGTTAATTGTTCTCTGTCAAAGTTGGATATAAATTAGTTTACTGTTCAGTTCTGATGGATATCGTTGATGATTAACAATATCTTAATCATTAGAAGTGATTTTCTAACTAGCAGCTTGTCCAGGTTACACAAATGCTCAATAACATTTAGTTTAGCACACCAAATATTTAAGGATAGCATAAAGAACCAGTTCATAGATCACATCAATATTGCAAATGCCATTCGGTTTGACGTTAATCAAGCCTTTTGCTTAATGAAATATGAGCCCATAAGGTGCAAGCTTCATATCAGTTGCTTGGTGTATGGAGAATTCATTTGATCATTTCCCCGTTGCCTTCGTTAATTATTTGTTGCTGCTTGCAGTATTCCGTTCTTAACAGAAGACATTTATATGGCACTTCCTGAGTTAGATCCTTCACTTATGGAGCTGCCAAAATTCCTATCTGAATATCCATCGGCGTTGCTTATGATACAGCATGCAAAGTAAATTTTCTTTTGGCACGTTCAGAGCTTTTCTTTCTTGTACAACTCCCAGCATTGTCCATTCGCGACATTGCACATAGTGCAACGTCACCAATTCTTGCCTGGGGAAAACTGCATCTGAGGTTGGGAACTGATTCCTGGAGATGCTGGACAAGTTGTCATCCAAAAAGAAAACGCCATCAGATTGTTTACACGGCAGTCTAGGTCTAGAGTAGGATCTGTACAGGCATTAGGTGCAATTACTCAAAAGGCTTCCTATTTTTTCGGAATGCCTCATCTTTTGAGCTCTGTATATCTGTCATGTTGGTTACTTCATTGTTGTATCTTCCTGCCTTTGAAGTTTTCAAGGCACTTGCCCATTTTAGAGATGTAGCCATATTTCCTTTACCTCACTAACCATCTCCGTTCCCTGTACAAATGATAGGCTTGTATTTGTTGATGTACATTTAATGTGAATACCCTTTTGTTTTTGTTTTTTAATGTTATGGAAAATATCGAAATCGGTCATGTAACAAATGCAACCATTCAAGTTCTCCTACATTTGTTCCACTCCTCAAGTGTAAATAGCGAGCCAAAGTCTCATACTTCGGCAAGTGTGCTCTTTCTTGCACCTGGTTCCAAGGATTGATGAGTTGCATACTTCATTATGTGATTTGTATAATTGTGCTTCAGTTATTTTAGCCCTAACAGTAGCTTTCTGTATTTATTAACATATTTCATTTGTATACTTATCCATAGGGTCTATTTTAGCTGAAAGATTTCGATAGTCTTAGTACCCATTTAGAAAATGGTTTGTCAATTTAAGATAAAAAATATTGTTTGAAAGGTGGGGTATTTACTTACTATTTGGTTCTCTTTTAATTTTCCTTCCCTTTCATGCGTTGGATTGGACTCAAAGTTACTTTAATGAAGGATCTGTACCAGTATTCCCTTTACTGCAAAATCCTGTTTAGGCATTCTTCTTTCAACACAGCTTGAAATAAATGATGTAACGATTTCTACTTATCTAAGAACAGGCGTAAGGGGCAAACGGTCAACTTTTTGAAAGATTTATTGTCAACCTCTTCGCTACACTGATTCTTAAGATAATCTTACCTCTCATTTTATGTGCTGATGTAACTTAGCGATTAAATAATGATTTTCTTCAATTTCTTGTTTGTGGTAAAAATGTATGTTTTAATCTTTTATTTAGTTTCTTATTATGTTAAATTCATAAAAGTTTAAGAATCGTTTGAACTTTGAAGTCACACTGAAAATCAGAATACTCAACTTTTTATACTTCCTATTTTGGTGGGACAAATAATGTCCTTTAATAGTGACATTTAGTCTTTTGCTTCACGCGAAAAAAATGGTTTTTCCTATCTCCACATCAGGAAAAACAGTGGGGATAAGTTATCTGTTGGCTTTGAGGATTGTCACTTTTAATGTGGGGGTCATTTGTCCAATAAGAAAACTATAAAGCAATATGGGCTCTACATGAGATAAAAAGAAGCAAAGTTAAATCAACTATATCCATTAAGGCATTGTTTTTTTTTTTGCTAATGCATTGTTGTTGCTATAGGCATGATAGATGTTAGACAGGCTACCAGTAATTTCACCTCATAAAATGTTAATTTAAGGGAACATTCATACCCTCATTTCTCATGTTACTCCCCAAATTTCTCATTCATTCGTTCGTTCATTCATTCTTTTTCACATCTCCCAACATGAAGTGATCAATGAGTTGCAGCGTTAAGTGCGCATATCTACTAAAATATGTAGATGGTTAACTAATTGACATGCTGCGGGAGTGAACAATACCTATGTTATCCAAAGGATGTTAGATGCTTCTATTAACGATGGGCCTTGAGACTTGCTAGCTAAAAGGACAAGAATTCTTGAATCCTCTTGCTAAATAAACCGAACAAGAAATTCTGTTTATACTAGTACGGAAATTCTTGGACAAGAAATTATTCTATATGCTCAAGTTGGCTCATTTTCCACTTTGGTATTACAACCAGCAGCAGCAGCAGCAGCAACAGCAACAGTAGTTTCTAATGTAGGACTTGTTGTAACAGAAACAAACTCGCAGTGCTGCAAATCAGCCAAGGAGAATGATCTCCAACCCGAGAAATTCCCACGAGCTAATGGCGATAAACAAAGAGGAGGATTCGATCCATTACAATGGTTGTGGTTGTGGTTGAGGTTGTACTCTTTGAAATGAGGATTAAAGCGCGACACGAAAGGAGCAGATGATCTTGAGGACATTGTGTTAGAATTTGTTGTGTTTTCACTAATGCTGCTAAGTCCTGAACCTGATGATGAACAACAATTCATAGCTGCTGCTAATGCTAGTGTCGTTCTACTTGAATTTGTTACTCTTTTTGAGATTCCACCTCTGTTTTTGTTAGTATCCCAAGCTAAACCACAAGCCAATAAGTTTCTTCTTTTCCTAATATATGCATTTTCTGCCTTTGCCAAGTCTTTTGTTGAGGATGTAGTTGAAGCTTCTCTTAAACTTGTGAATGATTTTGACTTTCCATTATAGAACCTTGAGATACCCTTTCTGCAAAAATCACACATATGTTAATTGGAAATCTAGAGGTAATATTGTTTTCCTTATAACAACCTACTAAAAGAGATGAAAATTACTCCACAAATAATAGCTCATTGAAATCCAGATCTATACAAAATTAGAGCACATAAAGAAAAATTAATTTTCTAGGCATGGATTCCTACTAGAAAGGGTAAATCATGAGAATCATTTTCATAGAGCCTTGAAAACATATTTTTTTGGAAAAAAATAATACTGATTCTTGATTTCTCTCATTCAAGTGTTGGAAGATTCTCACTTTCTCAGGACAAAAATTAGGAGACTATAATATTGGTGAATATGCTAAAGAATCTGGATTTCCTAAATAGTATCGTTGAGTTCCAGCTAATTAGCAACCCCACTATGTTCTTAATCTAATAAAATGATTAATAAACTAAGCTAATTAGCAACGCCACTATGTTCTTAATCTAAAAAGATGATTAATAAACTAAGGAAAAAGGTGGCTTTGTCAAACAAATCAAAAGCTTTGATTTCTCCTAAAACAACACAGGCAATCTAGAAGAGATCATTTAAAAAAAAAAGGCAGAACATGAAAATTTTGAAAAAAAAGCCACAATAAATTTAAAAGAAAAACTTCATCAGCAGCTTAGAAAAACAGAAACATACCATTGCAATTTTGTTTTTTCTTTGAGTGAAAAAGAATGCAAATTTTTCATCTAAAATATAAGGGAAAATAGGAACAAAATAAAAATAAACAAATGGAAGAAAAAGCTGTAAAAAAATACCTCATTGGTAGAACTTCTTCTAGAGTTTCCATAGAATTCAGAGGACCTTTATAAGAACTCTGAACTTCCTCAGAATCATCTGTTTTTTCCATTGATCCTTCTGAAATATCACTATTTTTTCCAATAGAAGATGAAGAACTACATGAATTCAATGACTTTTCTTCATTAATTTTCCCTTCATAAAAAACCATCTTTTTATTATTACCACAAAAAAATCTCTGATCTTCTTTAAATTTCTCTTTTTGATCAACACAAACAGATGATAATGCATGCATATATCCAGAAGAACCTTCAACTTCCCTTTTCTTCATTATCATACTCACAGACATTTCTATTTAATTTTCCTCAGCTTAGATCACATAAAAAAAAGAATATTATAAGCCAAAACTAAGAAATATTGGAAACTATAAAAATGGGATTTTAAAGAAAAGGTTGGTGATGGTATTTGTAAATAGAGAAAAAGAAATTTTTAACATTGAAAAAGCTTAGATCTTTGAGACAAGAAGGAGAAGAAGAGCAGAACAGATGAGACATATCTTGTTTATATAATATTGAGATGATAAGTTATCATTGGAAAAAATGAAAAAGAAAAAACTTTGTTTAGAAAATAATTAAGAAACCTTAAAGATAAGTAAATAGAATAATGGGGCTGGGGTATATATATAAAAAAATATGAGTCTAAGTCTAAGTCTACGTGTAAGAGATATTCATATGATCAGATCACTTATTTTATAATTTCATATAATTGTTAGTTATTAATTTGTAATCTCACAAAAATAATAACTGACCTAATATTATAAATTAAAATTTATTAATAAGTATAAAAGAAAATTACATTGTCAATGTTTATGAAATTCAGAAATAAATAGATAGTAAATGAAGAAAAAAGAAGGGGTAGGTCTATCCTGAATCCTAATCCTCTGGTTGTCCTTGTTAGAATTTTTTTAAAAAAAGAAGAAGGTACAAATTGAATAAATATTCAAATCAAGAATAAAAGATAAGCCAGTGGCAATGTCATTATGAGATGTAAATCCATTGGTTTACGTTAAATAGTATAAATCCAAGAAAGGATATGGTTTACTATGTATCTAGTCAGCTTTACAGCTATTATTGTTAAGGATAAACCTAATCTCTATCAATCTTGTGGAGATGCTATATTTCAATAAATAATTTCATTACCATATTAAATAGAGTTTGACTTCGGGTGCAAGAAATATTTATGTAATAATGTTTCTTAAAAAGTAATTACTACAAGGGAATTTTTATTTAATAAATATTAATTAATATTACAGAATAAATAGTAAGTAATTATGTTATAACACATTAAATATTCTAGCGGTGCAAAATTCTTTGACGTTGTTGATGTATTATTAGTTTGATCTTTTTTAACTATTGACCTTTTTCCCTAATTTAAAATACTAATGGCATTTCACCAAAAAACAAATTGTAATTGTGTCATCAGTAACTTTCTATTCGTGCCTATTGGATTGTAGTCCTACTATTGTTTCAAACTTGTGTTGGTATTATGATTAGTTGTCAAATTTAGATGGGAGTGGCTTCCGTGGTGGACAAGACGAGGGAACCGAGTCTTGAGATGGTTCAGGCATGTGAAAGATAAGATGTGCAGATGTCTTAATGAGGAGGTGCGGGAGATTGGCAATGGCAAGTCTAAGGAGAGGTAGAGGTAGAGGTAGACCGAAAAAGTATTTGGGAGAAGTGATTATACAGTATTACACACTTTCATCTTATAAAGGACATGACCCTAAATAGAAAGATGTGAATGTTCATAATTAGTATAAAATGTTAGAAGGTAATAAAGTGTTTTCTCTCTTTTATGTGGGATAGCATGGCTTACTTTGGAGTACCTTTTTCTGCTCCCTTTGCGCCTTATCTGTAGTATTACTATTATGCTCGTATTGTTTTATTCTCCATTTCTATAACTATCTGATGATGTTGTTTCTTAGGCTTATCTTTGCTGTTGATATTTTTTTTCGACAGTATTTTCGACATACTCCTTTACTATTGTATTTCTTTTACTAGTACTGCCATATTATTTTTTTGCTATTCTTTTACTTGTACTATCATATTATTTTTGCTAGTATTTTTGGCGTAGTTTTTTTTCTTCTTTCTTCAAATCTGTTTTGGAATTGTTTTCGTTGACTCGAGGGCTATCAGGAAAAAACTTCTCTACCTCCACAAGATAGGAAAAGGTCTGCGTACACTCTATCCTCCCAGATTTCACTTGTGAGATTTTTCCGAATATATTATTATTATTGTTATTAGTATCAAATTTATTAATTTGTATTTTGATAAAAATGATGCTCATTGAACAAAGTGAGGATTTGAGGGGTTTTAGTTGAATATGACTGTTTCTCTTTTGACTTGTAGTTGCACAAACTAGTTTAAAATGGAGAGAACACCCAGAGAAGAAAATGGTTATCTATTTACTTTAGTTTTAGTACTACTCAAAAGTTGTAACTTTTCGCTCTTCAAAAATCAAAATTGAGTGATTATTAGAAGCCGTTTGGCCATGAATTTTATTCACTTTTTTTCTTCAGAATAATTTTTCACTTTATTTCAAAATTAGTGTTTGGTTATAAAATTTTCAAATTCGTTTCCATTGTAATATGGCCAAATTTTCATGACATTTGCCATGACATAATATCTATTATAACAAATTTGTGGTTCATGACATTTGCCATGACATAATATCCATTATAACAAATTTGTGGTTCATGACATTTGCCATGACATAATATCCATTATTAGGCCAATGATTTCTTGCTATGAATAGAGGAGTTTCTCCTCATTTGTAAACACACTAACAAGACTTGTCTTCAATTCTTGTTTCTTCCTTTCTTCCTTTATTAAGAGTGTTTTGTATGAGAGTTAAGTATTGTGAAGCACTTGTGTGAACCCTTTCTTTGGAGTGATCTTGTGAGGTTATTCTCTTAGGGTATTTGGGATTAATTAGAGTGTTTACTCTAATTTTGTACTCTCTTTTGTACACTTATTGTTATAGTAAATTGCTCCTCTCCGCTTGTGGACGTAGGTCACTTTGACCGAACCATGTTAAATTTGTGTCTTCTTTATCTACTTTAATTGTCGTTATTATCAACTTCCATTGTCTTTGTTATTGTCATTATACCGTTGTTTGGCTATATTCCGCACTACCCGGGTTCCCGATCCTAACAAATTGATATCAGAGCCGGATCAAACCGGGTATGTTTCAGTAGCCAATATGACTCTAACAAAGACCTATGTTGAAAAATTTGACCGAAGTGCAAACTTCGGAATGTGCCAATTAAAGATGGAAGCTATCCTAATTCAGGATGGCTTAGACTTGGCATTGCAAGGAAAAGAGAAGAAGCCGGATAAAATGATGGATGAGGAGTTTGCCATCATAGATAAAAAGGCAAAAGCAGGTATTATTTTAAATCTCTCAAATGAGGTTTTACGTGAAGTTTCTATAGAAACCACAGTTAAAGGCATG